AGGTAGGGTTTTGTGCAGTTTCTATTGCATGTGTGTATTTTCATCGAAACCTAGCATATCAAGTCAACATTTGTCCCCATTTTGTTTTGACAAATAGTTGCAATTAAACAAAATGTTTTCTCACAGAGCCCTTGGTCAATTGAAACATTCACATCATCACACATTTAAAGTTTAAACTTGGGTTCTTTAAACTCTCTTTTTATTACATCTCTAGCTCGGAAATGTTTGAATTCCTATTCTGTCTTACTACAATGCTGAGTGACCAATCAGATATAGGGGATACTCAATCAATCAAGTAACCAAAAACAAATTTAACATGGTCGTGGTTTTAGCGAGTATATTTGACTTTTGCTTGTCATGTAATGTGTTCTCCTTGAAAATAAGCACTCGTTATGGAATATAACAGAGGAAAGCCTGATGGGATAACATTTTATCCTACGTCACAGAACGTTGTGTTGCCTTTATGCGCACAGCTGTACCATGTATTTATATGGGTTTTGTGTGAGCTGCTGTGGAACGCGGTCGAGAATCCAGTGAGGACAGCTAAAGTCGAGAAAACGGCAAACTCAACTAAGAGATAATCCCGAACAAACAAATGTATATATATATATATATTGCACAATTCAACAGTTCTAATTCATACATTAAACCGCAGCTCCAGGTGTATAAAATCAAACTGGCTGTCAGTCATGGGTTTATGTAAATGCAAGGTGTTAATCCCGAGTTGTTTGTTCAATCTCTATGTATGTTTATGTAATTACGGAGTTGATCATGTAAATGATATCATGGAGCTTATAAAAAATGTTATGATGTGAGCTGTCTGTCCGCGGATACAGGACTTGATTCTATTTTTTTTCTGCGACAACAGAGATGAACTAGGCGAGTTACGATAAGCGAAAAAACGATGGTTTTCACCCCATTGTCGATCAAAAGACGAACTAATCTGTGGATACTGGCCTAGATTAGTTCGCTGGCGGATGTGACGGGTCTGGTTGGTCATAACATTGAGCTCCGTGATCACGACAACATGATAATATCGGGGATCGTTCGAGGGGCTGGCTCGTCAAAAAACACATCCCCGACAATATATCGAGTATGTTTCACTATATGACGTTCCTGACAATTTAAAAAGAAAAAAATATGTCTCGAAAATGAATAATTTAAAAGATCTCGCAAAAAACCCTATGTTCCCTGAAATTTATCCTGCAGTGAAATGACTAGTAACCGACAACATTGCCTAAAACGAAAATGTATGCGTGTTCTCTGGTTCAAGACCTTCTTTAATAATGGCGTATAACTGCGTAATGTATGATGTTAGCTTACGGAATTAACACCTTGTGTTGAAATGATAACAGCTGTGTACCAAGTAAACAGCTGGGCGGACCATGCAAATTACATATCCCATGACGCACTGCTGCAATCCCTGGGATTGCGGAGTCGCGCTTTAACATAATTTCCATATCGTTCCGTGCAACCAACAATCCCAATTGTGTTTGGTACCTTATCCGTACTGGTCTCATTGATATGTATACGCTCAGAGGGTATACGTAGAACACGACTTGCAATCTGTATCGTCTTGGTATGTAACCCTTGACCCATCTCTATACCACCATGTACAGGAAATTGGGCGAAAGTACACTTGATGAACATTAGAACAATCACCTTGAATATAAAAAACGCGGCAAAAACACTTTTAAATTGTCTTGAGATTGTTGCAGTTTGACATAACATTTTTCCACACGACCATGCATTCCCGATTCAGTGATTATAGAATCATTTCTTGTGACACTGTCTTCACATAAGCACATACAAATATATAGAGATGGATCTCATTACATATTATAGTTGGTCCATAATTGTAGGAATTGACAGGAATTATTGACTACATGTTTATGAAGGATTCATTAAAAAGTAAAATGCATATAATATGTGTTAAATAGTATACAAGATAAACTTAATATATTATATGTGTCATTTATAAAATATAATTCTGACTAAACCTATTAAAACTGTTTTGTTCTAATCTTCCATGATAGTCACTTTTTACAATACACTCGTTTCAACATCTTGTTAAATTACCAATATCGGGGGCCTCTTGATAAAAGCGATTACTGTCACCCTATTTATACATAATCATCTCTCGGCCCTGCAATTATCAATAGCACGATAGCATGGGTACTGTAACAGTGTGTGACTCAGTGAAGGAAGCTCTTTGTTACTACTAATGTAGTCTTCGTTCTTCGCTTCTTATCAAATCAAATTAATTTAATTTTTGAGGAAAGAATGTCAAGGTTTATTATACGTTATTGCGCTTGTTTTGCGTTAATAACTGTACAATATAAATATGATAGTATAGATATGATTAAAGTTAATTGATGTTGAGTGATTGGTGTGTGTGCAGATTGTTTACATTTTTCCATGTGGGACCACAATACATATTTTGATTTCAACGATCACAGAATCTTGACATTCGACACCAAACAAGGTAAATGTATAAACCCCCTAAAAATCTGCAAATAATTAATTGTCATAGTGTTTGACATTCATGCTAGGGTTTTGTTTTTAGACAAATGTTATTACAACAATTATACTATTATCATGAGATGAATTGAATATATTAACCAAATTTCAACTCTACAGAGGGAACACCACATGTCGTAACTATCCGATACATGATAGTTTCAACCACTGCTGTCGCCTGCATACATCTAGGTGGTTGCATGACAGTATTCGATGGCATATTTGTTTTACAAGCCTTTCCAGAAATTGCATAGGCAGGTATGTTATATGCATTCTGAAGCTGAATCAACGTTTTTTTTCAATAGTCTAATATGTAGAGAACAGAACTTACATGAGAAATAACAGACAAATATAAAGTTTAAGTAGAACTCCAGCGAATTCTAGAATACAACACATACATTACACTTTCCAACATCAATGAGCTTCCTTAAACATTATTTTGCATTGTACCATAGAACCTCACAGATTATATAGTTCAGAAAGTAAAATCGCGGATAATTATATCACATAATTATCTTGTATTTGGCTAGGTTAATTAATTATGTGAATCAATCTAGGTAAACAAAGTACAATGAAAAAAATTTGATACTTATTACTTATGTGAATTTGTCGCATACGACTTGTTTACCACTTCCGTGTGACTGAGAATGTTCTAGAACCGTACTGTGTCTGGGTGGAATTTTTAGAAACTGGTTGAATAGGTAATATAACACTGTAGGAGGCAATAGAAGGTAATGGAACATTCTAGAAATTTGTAGTAAGTTCCAGACTCATTATGTAT